AAAATATTTGAAAAAGAAGCCGTTTGAGCCATTATTTCAACAATGTTGGATGATGTTGGCCCAACAATGTTGGATCCGTTTAAACAGGGCTTTAGACGCACACGACTGGTCGGACTGGAACACAATTGAATAGAATACAGTTCATATATGTAAGACAAAGTACACCATTGGGTCAACCGCTGTCGTATTGTGGATTTATTGAAATACTTCCTAAAATTATTGCCTGAAAAGTGGGACGCCTGATCGCAGGTTAGGATGGAGAACGAAGGAAGCAAAGCAAAAGGCAAAGCAGAAGAGATGGCTGGCAAATTTAACGTACGTATTGAGGGTGGAAGTGGCCATATATTTATGGGAGATCATACACGTGTAGACATAAAAGATGGCCGTGGTCGTGCTGGTATGTAAAACACATTATCCACGTATTTCTAACCGATTCTATGTTGTATATTTAACAAGTTTGCAAGTTTGATAATTAATTGTCACTATAAACACTTCCGTATTTCTAAGAAACCGCGGTAATATGTTTAGATTTAGTGTGTACTTGAGGTAATAGTTCTCCTTATTTGTTTATTGAAAAACGTTTAAATGAATACCAAAGTTTAATTTCAATATTCTTGTGGATTTCATTTGTCGATTTCATTTGCTGACTTGCACTTTCAATTTATATTGATTAAACTTGGTTAACTTGCATTTTAAAACACAGCAAGTTCCTGCTCATGTGATGGTATCCGTCTTGTAGTTTTTAAGGCCCTGTTCATTTATTTATCTTCTATTCATATGTTCAACAGGCCCAACCATACCACGACCGACTGTCAATATCACGCCAAGGGACCCAGGTATTTTGTATTTGTTATTTGAAATAATTTCTTTGCCACAATGTGATTTGTATGATGTGAAATGTAGAGTACTATAATTGTACAAACAGACAATTTACATGCAAAAACTACATAGGCATGTCTGTGGAAAGAAAGAACTAGCGTTGCAATTGACACCTGACCCCTGTGTTAATTAAAATGTGTAAGTGTATAATTATACATGTAGTGTATGTATTAATTGATATTTTATTATATTGGCCAATCTAGCATTTACAACTACTTTTCCAAGCAGGCAAACGTCAGGTAATTATAAGGGTTGGTATAATTTATAACAACAGGTTCTGCCATTTATTAACAGTTTCAACGATCTTTGGTTGCTGTAAAAAAATCATCTTGAATGATGTTACCTTGACTTGGTTGACTGATATTATGACATTATAAAATCGGTATCTGGCAGATTGTGTCATGAATAATCGGTAATCAGTAATTTCCAATTGTTGCACAATTGATCAATTACTAATACATTACTAACAGCTGATTTACCAATAAGGAACAATATAAATACTAAAGAATATAATTTATTGATGAAAAAATGCATTGATGTGGGAAGTTGGGGGGAAGGGCTGGGTAGATATTTTATAAAGACTGAAATAGTTTTCAGCCCCCTCCCCCCCCCAAAAAAAAAAAAAAAATTTGAAAAGACTTCATGAAAAGGCCCAAAGAGGCGAAGAGAATGCCATTTCCGACAACATTGTTTTGCTTGGCAGCAAGCATGGTGGCGCTTTTTGGTATGAAGCTTCCTACACCCTGTAAAAATGTCTTGTTGACATAAATAAAATAAATCTCTAGGTAAAATCTTGTTTTTTTTCATAGTTCAGGAAACGCAGGGTGGTTCAGTGCATTACACAATCAGACAAGGCTGTGCTTTGATAATTCACAATCGTTACTTCCCTAAAGGAAACCTCTCTGAGCGGGAGGGCTCACAAGAAGATGTAAGAGCCATAAAAGTGTTCTGTAAAGAGGCTGGCTTGGATATCAATGATACTGACAGAGAAACTGAAAACTTGACAGCAACTGAAATGGACAGTCTCTGCAATGAGATTGCCAGACGAAGTTTCAGTCGTTACGATGGGTTTGTTTGTTTCATATTAAGCCATGGTTGTGAAGATGGGATATATGGCGTAGATGATAACATCATTAGCCTGCAAGAAATTGTCACAAAATTCAGAGATTGTGAGGGCTTGGCAGGCAAACCCAAGTTGTTCTTTATTCAAGCGTGCCGTGGAACCAATAAAGATAGTGGAATACCGATTGATTCTGATAGCCATCCTGTGAACAGACCAGTCCCGTTGCGTCTGCCTCGTGAGTCTGATATTCTCCTTGCCCATTCCTCTGTGGACGGTTTTGAATCGTATCGAAGTCGTGAATGTGGATCATGGTTTATCATCACATTGATGGAACAACTTCGTAAACATGCGCATGAAATGCATTTGATGGATATTTTGACACTAGTGAACCGTGCCATAGCAGGTTATTACACAGATGAAGGTCTCAAACAAATGCCGTGTCAAATGACCACACTTACCAAGTTTGTCTACTTCAAGTATCCACCACCTTTGAGTTCACCATGAAACTGGACACATTTCAATGTTAATAATTCAGGATTTCTTTTAAATAATTTGAATATATTTTACAATTTAATAATTAAAACTGCAAAAAATTCTTAAGCAATTAACTTCTCATTTGTATGTATAAACAGCTTTGTCATATACTGTATTGTGTAATCCATATTAATTAAAGTATATATAACTTTGATTAGGAAATTGTTTCTCTTTGATGTGTTATTTAGTTAATCCCGCCACAAAGGCCATGCTTTTTCTTTGCCTTTCTTAATTAATCAAAATGCATAACACTTCCCCTATGAAGGTAAATTGTAAACCTATGGCCATTAGACAGAATAAAATGACAAAGCATAAATGAGCCTCAACCTAGCCCTAGGTGTTGAATGATCAGGTTTAGTGTCTTGGGCCCACAGTCTTGTGAAGACTGTGCTGTGAAGCACACCCATTAATACACCCATGTCGATTTTCAGTATTTTGTGCTATCATGGATAATAAAATAAAATTTTATGCATGGTGCTATGAAGGTCTATAAATGATCTATCTCTATTAGTCCAGCTTATTTAAAAGATCAGTAAGCAATGCTGGCTCAAGTGACTAATCAGTGATTTCGTACTGCAATATATCAAGTTACGGTTTAGCGCATTGCCTGAAGGTCCAAAAAAATTGTTTCGAGATACTGTAAAAAAGGACTTTTTTGTCGTTTTAACTTTTAAGTTTTTAAAACAGAAATACCAATCTGAACAAATATGAAACTGGTTTTCCTCTTGTGGCTTTTATATTTCCTCCAAGGCATTCCATATGGATTTCAAACGAAATTTTTACCTGTATTTTTGCGAAGTTACTCGCTGTCTCTGACGTTAATCAGCTTCACACGTCTTCTCAGTTTACCTTGGCTGTTAAAACCATTGTGGGCGCCTCTTGTTGATAAGTATGGTAGCAAAATTTCATGGGTTAAATATAACCTTTTTGGGATGGCTGTATGTTACTTGGTTGCTTCGTGTATATCATTGAGTAGTGTTTCATTGACTGTGCTTGTTGTTGCTTGTTTGAATATCATGGCTGCCACTCAGGATATTGCTGTTGATTCCCTATTTGTGAGTCACTTGACTCCTGAGGACATTGGTGAGTTTTCCTTTTCATCTAATTTTATAAATATCTTTAATGCGACAAAAAATAAACTGATCAGATGGATTTAGTCCAAACAAAGTGTAAACAAAAAACTGTAAATCACATTAGAATATATTAATACAAATATACAGAAAACTACAACAAATACTTCCTTCGCCGGCCTGGTCAAACAAATTAAAATAAAATGGTATAGGGATGAGACGATAAGGAAAATTGCCGATTACTGAGGCCGATTATTTATAAGCCGATTATCATAACTAATCGGCCGATTAATCGGTACCTGCCGATTATTTTAAAAAGCAAGAAAAAAATCACAAGATGACCAACAATGAAGTTATAAATGCGGTTTTATTGTTCACAATACAGACTAAATCAGTTTCAATCTCGCATGTCAACAGTCAAAGTTTAGTTTTGGCAGATTATGATGTAAAAACAGGATATTGTTGGCTTTATGCGGGGATAGTCTGCTGCATTACTCAGTGGAAATGTTCCCAGCCTCACTGAACACGCGCTACAAATATATGCATTTTATTAGAAATATCAGGATTCGTTTAAGCCAATCAGAAAACAGAATATGGTATATTGACTCAACCACAGAATAACAACTCAACGCATAGGAATGCGTTGGTGTTTTAACTACTTTTATCTCAAAGCCACTTGTGTGAGACAAAAGACGCGGGTTTTGCAACAAAATGTGAAAATCTATTCGCTTGTATTCAGTATTTTAGCATGTGCTTGGCAGCTGCAGAAAAAGTCTTATAGCCGATTATTTGCCGATTATCAGGCAATAATCAGCCGATTACCGATTATTTAAAAAATGGCTGATTAATCGGCTTTGCAGATTATTTACCGATTAATCGGCTCATCCCTAAAATGGTATATAGCGTAGGAAATCTCAGCTATTCCTATTATTATGACAGGATTAGGAAATATTGCCCAAGTTGTTGGATACAAAACTGGTTCATTATTTGGAGGTGGATTCCTCGGCTGGTTGTCTTCATCGTATCCATGGCAACAGTTATTTTTCCTTCTCTTTGTTATGTATATAATTTCAGCTCTATTATGTTCACCCATCTTTGTCAACTTAATGTTTCCACAAATAATACAACCCAAAGACATAGGGAAAACACTTCTTGGCAATGAAAAAACACCTGTTGACAAAAGTTCAAAACATGTACAACCTCATTCCAATTGCACAAAATTTAGTGAAACATGTGAAAATGTTAATAAAAATGGACCAAATGTCACTGACCGGATGAAAAGCAAAGAGTATTCCACATTGGGGCTGAATACAACCACAGAAAGGAGACATTATCAGGATACGGTGCAGGATGGCAAAATGCAATCTGCTATGAATAAAGACCCTGGTTCTTCATCACAAAATTCAGGGAATTTTGTTAAAGCAAAATTAGAAGGTTATCTTAATGTGTATGGAAAAGTATTGAAGGCCGATGGCACAAAATGGACAATAGTTTATGTTTTAATTTACAAACTTGGTGAACAAGGCATGATTGCCATACTGCCCATGTTTGTACTTGATGAAGGAATGTCTTCATCTGACACAGCCATGTTGACTGGAGTTTTATGTCAGTTTTGTTCAATCTTTGGATCTCTGCTTGCTGGAATGCTATTTTATTGGTAGGTTGGTTTACATAAGATTAGTTTGTAATAAATACATTTCTCTAAGATAGACATCTCTCCAACACAGAAATATCCCTAATATACACATCTCTCTAACAAAGGTATTTCTCTAGGACAGACATATTCCTATAAAACAGATATTTCTCTAAGACAGACATCTCTTTAACACAGAAATATCCCTAATATACACATCTCTCTAACAAAGGTATTTCTCTAGGGCAGACATCTCTCTAGGGCAGACATATCCCTAGGGCGGACATATCCTTATAAAACAGATATTTCTCTAAGACAGACATCTCTCTAAGACAGACATATCCCTATAAAACAGATATTTCTCTGAGACAGACATCTCTCTAGGGCAGACATATCCCTATAAAACAGATATTTCTCTAAGACAGACATCTCTCTAAGACAGACATCTCTCTAAGATGGACATCTCTCTAAGATGGACATCTCCCTATAAAACGGATATTTCTCTAAAACAGACATCTCTAAGATAGACATCTTTCTAACACAGATATTTCTCTGAGATAGACATCTCTCTAACACGGACATATCCCTATAAAACAGATATTTCTCTAAGACAGACATATCGCTATAAAACAGATCAGACATCTCTTCTCTTTATTTAAATATGAAGTAAGTGACTCGTATTAAAATCTATACTTCTAGGGATGGTTTACAAAGCACATTGGCCATCTTATCAACCGTACGTTTCTTGACTGCCTGTGTGCTAACTTGGCTTGGATTTTTTAATTCATTAACCACAAATTGGATTGGGTTTGTTGTCTCTGACTGTCTTCTTCATGTAGTCTCAGGCATGATAACAACTCTCACGTTCACGTTGATGGTTGCATGCTCCCAGAAATGTCCGAGAATCCTTTCTGCAACACATTACTCCACTTTAGCAACATTTGAAGTTCTTGGAAAGCTATGTATGGTGTCAGTTTCTGGAACGGTGGTCGATATGATCGGTTATACAAAGTTTTTTGTCATTTGTACTTGTCTGACGCTGCTCCCAATAATTCTCCTGAGGACAGGGAATGCAAATTTTCAACAGGCAAAAGTTGAGGTGAAGGATTAATAGTAAACAATCTCAGTGCATGTGGACAAATTATAACGAACAATCTTAATTCACATGCCTAGTTAAGATAGCTCTAGTTTATAACTGAAGCTATTGATACTCCAGAGTGGAAGCCCTATTGCCTTTGTTGAAGATATCACCATTGTATCTCTGTCCTTAAATGCCTTAACCATCTAGCTAACTTTGTTTTTAACCTTATCAAGCCCCAGATAGTGGCAGATACATAGTTCTAAAACACGCCAGAATAACAACTACAACTTTCCACGCCCACTTACAAATTGGGGAAAACAACAATTTAATATATATCACCTATATTGCGCTAAAACAATCTATTAATTTTCAACTCTTTAAAACCAAACAAAAACATTTTATCTAATTGAACTGAACTTTTTCCAACAACAATTAAGTATATGTAGTCTTTAAATATACTTTATAATATTAATATAAGCATAGTGTAGTTTAACCTATATAATATAGATATATATTGCAGGACCTCCTTGAAAAACACTTCGGTGAGTGGAGCTTCCTGAATAAATAATAGTAGCAGAGGTACAGCTGAACGTCTCTATGCTCAAACATAATAATAATAACATCTTTATTTACACTGTAAGATTCTTTCAGTTGTTGATACATCTGGGTCGGGTTGTATAAAAAAGTTATTAAAGTTAACTATAATTAAGTGCAAACGTTATCCATTAAGAAGCGTGTATTTGGGAGTTAATCACTATTTAACTACAAAATGGTGATTAAAAAAGTGATTAAGTGTTTTATACAACCGGACCCTGCTGTTAAAATAGGATGAACAGTATATATAGTATCTACATAATATAATATATATGAAAACAATAATATAGTAATAATGAGACACAAAATTAATGACAAATCTAAGATTTACTGCTACAATTACAAGTGTCAATTTTTAAGAGGTAATTCAAGTGATTTTTTTTTTTAAATTGCTGTGCTGAGTGGTTATATTACTACCTTAAAAAAATAAGCAGAAACTCGACATTTCGAGCGAAGGCCCTTCGTCAAGAGTTAGTTTTTTAAAACACTTAGGGAAGTAATTTCTCTGATATCCTTTGGAAGGGAATTCCAGTCGTTTCCGCATACTGAAACATTGATTGTCCAGTACTCGTCTTTATTCTTGGTAGATTGATAGATTATTTAATAAGATTTTACATCGCAGCCCAAAATAGCTGAATTGCGTAAAATTTACAAAACATATAAATTAACTGTAGGTATACTAACAGTACACATATTGTCATACATATACATTACGATCTTTAAGGTTCAGATTAGACATAGCCTAATAAAACAATTCATAGCAAACCATAGCAATCCTATTTCTTTAAATTATTTGACATTGCGGAAATATAAGAGTTTCTAAAACGATTGGTTCGTATAGTAGGACAATCAAACGCACCTTCTCTCCTCAGCTTGTAAGTTGGATTGTGTTTGGGTGGCAGTAGTTGATAAAGCTTGTGGTCTGAGTTGGATACTGGTAAAAAATGGTAGATAGATATTTGGCAGATGCATATGTTTATGTTTGTTTATGTTTTATATTGAGTTTCTCACTCATTGGTCAGCGGATTTCTCAGCAGGCTATTGCCCAATTGATAGGGGATCCGAGGTACCTACGATTTAACGTCGGCTTATCCGAGAAGACGCGGAAGTCTAACCACTTACTGATGTCAATGTAAAGGTAGCACTGTCTCAATTATTTTAAGACCTTGAGTAGAGGTCCGACCAAGGAATTGACCGCGGGTTTCCCTGCTTGAATGGCGAGCGTGGTGACACGTGCTGTTCCGAAGATCTAGTCTTTCTGATTTTGAACATGTCAATTTGCTGTTCTTGGACAATCAGCTTATTTAAAATTTTAAAAGTGTTTGAAATCTATGAAAGCTATTATACAAGGATATTTAGTTCACTTTTCATCTCTTGTGGACCTTTGGTTCTTCGTTCGTGGGGACATGGTCCTAGAACATCCATGTATTCTATCTCTGTGGGCCGATCCCTGATCTCGTAGGGCTGAGTATTCCCGTTCGCAGGTTAACTTGCAAACAATTCATTGAAGTGTCTTAAGAAAGCACCTCGGATACTGCGACTCCTGAGAAGATACGTGACAGGGTTAATGGCAGAATTGAGAAACAGCGCGATCTCGAGGTACGGCACGACTGTATACATGCTTTCTAACGTGTAACCATGAAACGCGCTGTAGATCCAGAAACACGTTCCTGGAAAATAACACAAGATCATCGCACCAAGAACGTACACCATGACTTGTGTGGTTTTTATCTCGTGGAGTGAGATTGCTGGTCTGTAAAATTGCGAGGACCCCACCATGTTCTCGATTTGAAGTTTTTGTCGCCTTGCTGCGATTAGGATTTTTGAATAAACTACCAAAGCTGAGAGAATTGTGTAAAACGTTAGACCACATATGATCAAATAGAACGTAGCCAAAGGAAGCACCACTCGACACACCAGCAACCCAATGAGTAGTATTCCACATCCAATTAGAACAATTTTGACATTCCTCTTACTGAATACCAAAGGATAGCGTAACGGGTAATAAATTGCTATATACCGGTCATGTGTTATCACAATGATTGTCAGGAAGGATAAACCACTGCAGAATATTATCACCAGACGACTTATATTAAATAACGTACAATTATGAGTGCCAGAAATCTCCATGATTGCACGAATAATCGCCATCGGTTCGGCCAGTACTCCGACGAGTATGTCGCTGACTGCTAACACAACCAGCAGCATATTGGATGTATTTTGTAATATGCGATTACTATTATAGGTTGAAATGAATAGCGCGTTTGTAATTACCGTGAAAAATGCCAAGAACGTATCGAAAATAATTATAATTGTATTAGCTGTCACGATACGGGCTGTAGGAAGAGATACCAAATACGAAGCGATTCCGCATGTCCCAATTTCGACTGAACTTGAAGTAGAATTCAACGTCATTCTTTCTACATTGGTTATCGATATAAAGCCAGCTTTTAAGACTTGTGTGGACTTGTTGTTTTCCCCCGCAAACTATTTTATACATAATGTGTTTTTCAATTATGCCATAATAGGACATGCTGGCAAGATAAATAAATAGCAGATATCAGGCCATTAAATTTTAAATTTTGTTTAATGATTTTAATGTAAATTTAATCCTATTTTGTTCCTCAACTATGATTGATATATTGATATCAATTCGGTTGTCCTGTTTTTCAGCCAAATAGACTGCATGCAACTACGATTTATTTAAATGATATACAATAGTCGAATTTATTTAAAAACACATGCATTTAGATCACGATGGTCGATGGCTTGAACAAAGATGATATCTTAAACATGGGGGTTCAGTGTTAGGTATATTATTCCACATTGTGTCTGAACTACCTGAAAAATATCTCAAACGTGGTGGTCCAGTGTAGGTAGTATTCTACAATAAGCTGCCGTGGTTTGTGTCTGAACTACCTGAAAAAGATATCTCAAACGTGGTGGTCCAGTGTAGGTAGTATTCTACAATAAGCTGCCGTGGTTTGTGTCTGAACTACCTGAAAAAGATATTTCAAACGTGGTGGTCCAGTGTAGGTAGTATTCTACAATAAGCTGTCGTGGTTTGTGTCTGAACTACCTGAAAAAGATATCTCAAACGTGGTGGTCCAGTGTAGGTAGTATTCTACAATAAGCTGTCGTGGTTTGTGTCTGAACTACCTGAAAAGATATCTCAAACGTGGTGGTCCAGTGTAGTTAGTATTCTACAATAAGCTGTCGTGTTTTGTGTCTGCACTACCTGAAAAAGATATCTTAAACGTGGTGGTCTAGTGTAGGTAGTATTCTACAATAAGCTGTCGTGTTTTGTGTCTGCACTACCTGAAAAAGATATCTCAAATGTAGTGGTCCAGTGTAGGTAGTATTCTGCAATAAGCTGTCGTGGTTTGTGTCTGAACTACCTGAAAAAGATATGTCAAACGTGGTGGTTCAGTGTAGGTACTATTCTACAATAAGCTGTCGTGGTTTGTGTCTGAACTACCTGAAAATATCTCCAATGTAGTGGTCCAGTGTAGGTAGTATTCTATAGTTTACCATAGTTAGTGTCTGCACCACATGAAAAGATTAAACTTTTCGAAACGTTTCAAATGAACGCTATACGTCAGAAAGGAACCTTACTAACCTCTAGGGCTTCGCTCAAAAAGTGTTTTTTAGTCTTAGGATGCAAACTACAGCAGCTTAATAAACAGACAAGACAAATATAGGTGGGTGGACGGAGATAAGAACTTTTCAATTTGCGAAGCTTTTGGTCAAAAACATTTTTTAAATGATATGCTGATTAAGTTAAAAATAAAACTGTACAAATTTGAAGGACGGTCATGAAACAGCGAGCTTAAAGGCTCATTTCCACTCAGGAAAATTTTCCGCGGAAAGAAAATTTTGTAAAATGTGATTAGCCGACACAAATTTTCCGTCGGAAAAAAATTTTGAAGTTGAAAATTTTCAACTTTTAACAATGATATTTTCAGAAAATTTTCTGTCCGTGGAAATTTTCTCGAGTGGAAATGGTCTTAAGCAAGGGACGTTTTTTTGTCAACACGGACGCCAGATTGCCTAGGGCTGGATTGAAAACTTTGTTTATCAGTTTGTGATAATCTTCATAATCTTAAAGTTTTTTGATTCTTTACACGAGCGTGCAAAATGCCGCCAAAAGTAGTTATGGTGACGTCCTTGTTGACTAAAACGTTGCTTGCTTGAGCTCACGAGTATGTCCCTGCCATAGATATCTTACATACACCAGATAGTGCATCTAATTATTCTGCAATTCAAAAATTGAAGCCGTGATTGCAGACTCAGGATATTCCCATGAAATGAGAAGACTCGTATGTTTTCTATTTCTTAAACAGGGAACTTAAACATTAAGTTAAAACTATTCCAAATACATTTTCAAACT